AGTGGTGGTGGTAGTAGTGGTGGTGATGCTAGTGGTAGTGATGCTAGTGGTGGTGATGGTAGTGGTGGTGATGGTAGTGGTGGTGATTGTAGTGGTGGTGATGCTAGTGGTGGTGATGCTAGTGGTGGTGATGCTAGTGGTGGTGATTGTAGTGGTGGTGATGGCAGTGGTGGTGATTGATGGTAGTGGTGGTGGTAGTAGTGGTGGTGATTGTAGTGGTGGTGATGGTAGTGGTGGTGATTGTAGTGGTGGTGATGGTAGTGGTGGTGATGGTAGTGGTGGTGGTAGTAGTGGTGGTGATTGTAGTGGTGGTGATGGTAGTGGTGGTGATGGCAGTGGTGGTGATTGATGGTAGTGGTGGTGGTAGTAGTGGTGGTGATGCTAGTGGTAGTGATGCTAGTGGTGGTGATGCTAGTGGTGGTGATGGTAGTGGTGGTGATGGCAGTGGTGGTGATTGATGGTAGTGGTGGTGGTAGTAGTGGTGGTGATGCTAGTGGTAGTGATGCTAGTGGTGGTGATGGTAGTGGTGGTGATGGTAGTGGTGGTGATTGTAGTGGTGGTGATGCTAGTGGTGGTGATGCTAGTGGTGGTGATGCTAGTGGTGGTGATTGTAGTGGTGGTGATGGCAGTGGTGGTGATTGATGGTAGTGGTGGTGGTAGTAGTGGTGGTGATTGTAGTGGTGGTGATGGAAGTGGTGGTGATTGTAGTGGTGGTGATGGTAGTGGTGGTGATGGTAGTGGTGGTGGTAGTAGTGGTGGTGATTGTAGTGGTGGTGATGGTAGTGGTGGTGATGGCAGTGGTGGTGATTGATGGTAGTGGTGGTGGTAGTAGTGGTGGTGATGCTAGTGGTAGTGATGCTAGTGGTGGTGATGGTAGTGGTGGTGATGGTAGTGGTGGTGATTGTAGTGGTGGTGATGCTAGTGGTGGTGATGCTAGTGGTGGTGATGCTAGTGGTGGTGATTGTAGTGGTGGTGATGGCAGTGGTGGTGATTGATGGTAGTGGTGGTGGTAGTAGTGGTGGTGATTGTAGTGGTGGTGATGGTAGTGGTGGTGATTGTAGTGATGGTGATGGTAGTGGTGGTGATGGTAGTGGTGGTGGTAGTAGTGGTGGTGATTGTAGTGGTGGTGATGGTAGTGGTGGTGATGGCAGTGGTGGTGATTGATGGTAGTGGTGGTGGTAGTAGTGGTGGTGATGCTAGTGGTAGTGATGCTAGTGGTGGTGATGCTAGTGGTGGTGATGGTAGTGGTGGTGATGGCAGTGGTGGTGATTGATGGTAGTGGTGGTGGTAGTAGTGGTGGTGATGCTAGTGGTAGTGATGCTAGTGGTGGTGATGGTAGTGGTGGTGATGGTAGTGGTGGTGATTGTAGTGGTGGTGATGCTAGTGGTGGTGATGCTAGTGGTGGTGATGCTAGTGGTGGTGATTGTAGTGGTGGTGATGGCAGTGGTGGTGATTGATGGTAGTGGTGGTGGTCGTAGTGGTGGTGATTGTAGTGGTGGTGATGGTAGTGGTGGTGATTGTAGTGGTGGTGATGGTAGTGGTGGTGATGGCAGTGGTGGTGATTGATGGTAGTGGTGGTGGTAGTAGTGGTGGTGATGCTAGTGGTAGTGATGCTAGTGGTGGTGATGCTAGTGGTAGTGATGCTAGTGGTGGTGATGGTAGTGGTGGTGATGGTAGTGGTGGTGATTGTAGTGGTGGTGATGCTAGTGGTGGTGATGCTAGTGGTGGTGATGCTAGTGGTGGTGATTGTAGTGGTGGTGATGGCAGTGGTGGTGATGGTAGTGGTGGTGATGGCAGTGGTGGTGATGCTAGTGGTGGTGATGGTAGTGGTGGTGATGCTAGTGGTGGTGATGCTAGTGGTGGTGATGGTAGTGGTGGTGATGCTAGTGGTGGTGATTGTAGTGGTGGTGATGCTAGTGGTGATGCTAGTGGTGGTGATGCTAGTGGTGGTGATGCTAGTGGTGGTGATTGTAGTGGTGGTGATGCTAGTGGTGGTGATGCTAGTGGTGGTGATGCTAGTGGTGGTGATGCTAGTGGTGGTGATGCTAGTGGTGGTGATTGTAGTGGTGGTGATGGCGGTGGTGGTGATGGTAGTGGTGGTGATGCTAGTGGTGGTGATTGTAGTGGTGGTGATTGTAGTGGTGGTGATGCTAGTGGTGGTGATGGTAGTGGTGGTGATTGTAGTGGTGGTGATTGTAGTGGTGGTGATGCTAGTGGTGGTGATGCTAGTGGTGGTGATGCTAGTGGTGGTGATGCTAGTGGTGGTGATTGTAGTGGTGGTGATGCTAGTGGTGGTGATGCTAGTGGTGGTGATGCTAGTGGTGGTGATGCTAGTGGTGGTGATGCTAGTGGTGGTGATGCTAGTGGTGGTGATGCTAGTGGTGGTGATTGTAGTGGTGGTGATGGCGGTGGTGGTGATGGTAGTGGTGGTGATGCTAGTGGTGGTGATTGTAGTGGTGGTGATGGTAGTGGTGGTGATGCTAGTGGTGGTGATGCTAGT